AACATATTGTACACAATCTACTACATGCCTTCTGTTGATCTGATTGATAATTCATACTTTTTTAGCAAGTAAAAGTTCTTTTAGTATAATTGTAAAGATGTCCAACTTCAGGTCGTGTTAAATGTGAATTCTTTATTGACTGTTATGAAGTAAATGTAATAGTAACTTTTATATTGTTAGTAATATTTTTAAAAGAACATTTAGTGGACTGAAGTAACTTTGGCTTTCTTGTTTATTCACATATCATTTTTAGACAAATCAATATTGAATATGATACATCAAGCTTTTTGATTTGCATCTCTCATTTTTCATTGTATTACATTATATGTTTTGTCCTCTACAATAAAAAATAAAGATCTTTGATCATAAAACTAAACATTTAAATACCAAATTACTAAGACATTACTGAGAGCTATAGAGTGACAACTGATATTTATATGTATGCGTTTTATGATTGTTGTCTGCCATGATGTTATAAAAATAATTTTGCATAGTTTGGGCCTCTGAATAAAATTTTGATAAAAAGCAGTTTTTCCTCCTCGAATATGAGCTCCATATTCTCACTATATAATAATATATGAGCCATAAAAGCCTGATGTATCAAATGTAATACTCATCAAAAGTAGAGATGATTTTGTCTAAAGTTTCAATACACTGCTTCATTTAAAAAAAAAAAAAAAAAATTGTTTTTTACAATGGTTTTGTTTTTCAGTATTCGTCGTGGATATCAGGTGTATAAGCAGGTGTGCTCGGCCTGTCACAGTATGGAGTATTTGGCCTTCCGTAACTTGGTGGGAGTGTCACACACAGAGGCAGAGGTCAAGACTCTGGCTGAAGAGGTCAGATTTCTTATGATGTTAACCCAAACACAACTCAATTTAATTGTCTAATTGCACCGATGTGTTTAATTAGATAGTGTAGCGCTTGTTAGGGCAAAGCAATACAATAAAAACCACCACCTTAGCAACACTCTGGCAATTGTGGTGGCAGATTTTACACAGACAAGCAAGCACCACTAACATTTTTTTTGACAAATAAGCAGTGTAGGGTCAGAGTGTCTTGTTAATGCGAAGGTCAACTTAAAGGGGTCATATGATGCGATTTAAATTTTTCCTTTCTCTTTGGAGTGTTACAAGCTCTTGGTGCATAAAGAAGATCTGTAAAGTTGCAAAGACTAAAGTCTCAAATCCAAAGAGATATTCTTTATAAAAGTTAAGAGTCAGCCACGCCTACCTAAAACGGCTCGTTCTAACATGCCCCCACATGTCTACGTCACGATGTGGGAAGAATTGCATAACGCCGCCCAAATGTTCACGCAAAGAAAGAAGGCGTAACTTTTATTCTCGCTGTAGTATTGTTGTTGCCGCCGCCGCCATGTCATGAAGGCGCTGTGTTTCGTTGTGAAAGCGAAACTACTTTGGTTGGCCTTCCAAAAGAGGACGATATCCGCTTCGTCATGCCTGGAGCTGATCCGTGCTGGTCGCTGAGGAAATACATTTACTAAAAAATACAATACACACTTAAATACACACTGTTCTGACTCACAGACTGTAAGTACGTTTTTTATATTTAAAGAATTTGCCACTGACGATTCAAACGCGAGTTTTGGGCAGTGTAGAGTAGCACTTGTTGTTGACGCGTTTCAGAAAGGCGGGGCATAGAGGAGAAACAATAATGTACAGTATGTGGAAAATAATGTGTTTTTTGAACCTTAAACCACATAAACACATTTCATTACACCAAATACACCAAATAATGTTCTTTTTAGCAGCATCATATGACCCCTTTAATATCTTTGACGCATGTATAAGGGTCCATAAGGACTTTGTGCTTTATGCAGATTGAAGTTGTGGATGGTCCTGATGACAGTGGAGAGATGTTCACCCGTCCTGGAAAACTCTCAGATTACTTCCCCAAACCCTATGCAAACCCTGAGGCCGCCCGTGCTGCTAACAACGGCGCTCTGCCCCCTGACCTCAGCTATATTATCAGTGCCAGGTAATGAATTAATTTTGATCAGGTGCTAAAGTCATTATTTTACACTTTAAAAAATTGTCACTAAAGCCTCTTTTGTGGTTCTACTACAAGCAATTTATAAGCAAACAATTTTTTTTTGAGTAGGATAGATTAATCTCAATATTATCATTATCACACTTTTGTTTTTCTTCAGACATAACTCTTTTTCTCTTTCTTTCACTCAGGCATGGAGGGGAAGATTACGTGTTCTCTCTCCTGACCAGTTACTGTGATCCTCCAGCTGGTGTGTCTGTGAGGGAGGACCTGTATTACAACCCTTATTTCCCTGGCCAGGCCATTGGTATGGCACCACCCATCTACAATGAGGTGCTCGAGTATGATGATGGTGAGTTTTAAAGTTTTCTATTATCATTAACCTTTTTTTGACACACATTCGTATTTCTACTAGGACTCTCAATAGATCAATCTCATTTTGTGATTAAACCCATTTCAATTCATTTCTTTCTTTTTTTTCTAAATATTGTGCATTCATTTTGAATGTTTAGTTCATTTTGGTGGAAAGAAGGGAATAGAATAATAAGATTTGTCAGCCCACTGGTGGCATTCTCATTAATGGTGTATTTTACTCATGGGTTATATTTCATACTTTCTGAGCTCTGACTATAATTAAATTCTGCCATATAAAAACTGTAAATTACTTTTGTTTTGTTAATCATCCCACCTGATTTGATTTGCATATAAATTAGCCATTTAGAAAGTTAAGTGGCTGAATATAAATGAGAGCGTCTACTGGATTAAATGCATTTATGAGGTATTACAACTAATGGACATGAAGTAACATATTAAGTATTATATGTGTAGGTCAGAGTTTGTTAATAACTCGCTTCTCCTCCATAGGAACCCCTGCCACCATGAGCCAGGTTGCTAAAGATGTCTGTACTTTCCTGAGGTGGGCGGCCGAGCCAGAACATGACCAGCGTAAACGTATGGGACTGAAGGTTTGTATTTTCCTTTTTCCATCCCTACTAGTTAATTTTTTCAGATGTTGGTGGAAAATTAGATTTATGTAGTGCAATACTAAATGCCCACAACAGAAGAGCAAAACATGCATGAAGAGATGTTGCATCTCGACATGTGTCCTCATTAAAGCACCATCGCTAAAAAAAAATAGTGCTTATTGTTTTTCTCTGATTCTCTCTGCAGATTTTAATTGGCGCCTCCATACTTGTTCCCCTGGTCTACTACCTTAAGAGGCACAGGTGGTCTGTGATGAAGAGTAGAAAGATCGCCTACAGGCCTCCCAAATAAAGCCAAACTGCTGCCGTCACCAGGCCTTGACACAACGTTAAAACCTGATTCACGATTGTCCGATCTTTTTCAGAATGCACAATGCTTCAAGATAAGGTTGCTATCATCAATAACCACTGGACATCCTTTCAGATAGGTGTCCTTGCTCCTATATGACTTGGGGAGTGGGACCTGAGACAACCTTTGTGATGTTTTACTGTAAAATAAATATCTCAATTAATTATTTGTGGTTGTTTGTAAGGTGTGTGCTCAGAGGCAAAAATCTAAAATACATTTGCAACCTTCTTGTGCTTTGTGAGATCTGTCCTTGCAGTAGGCTCTCTACACTTTGTTGTGTAAATATTTAATAAAAGCGGTATATCCTAATGACCTCTTATAACAAATCTGGTGGTTTGTGATGTGATTCTTTCAGTTTGATCATTGAGATTGATTTGTTTGGTTGATGTTTTTATCCAAAGCAACCTAAAAATTAGGAAAGTATTATCAGATGTACTGCAATATCCAACATCCCAGATTTGGACCTTTATAAGTACAGATGCGGGTAGTTTAGACGTGTATAAAATGTTGTGAAATCAACTGCTAGTCGAAAAGCTGTTTTCTGGGATTTCCTGAAGGTTTTGATGCACCATAGACCAGAATGCTAATGTAATTTAAATGTCTTTGTCTAGATATTTAGATAAACATGCACAGGCATCACTTTGATCTTCATAACTGCAGGGCTAATCGGCTGTTTCAGACTGTAAGGCGGCTCTAATATTTATCCAGAGAGCACTGGGTAAATGTTTAGTCAGACCTCTCAAGATGATTGTAAATACCGTTAAAACAACATGAGTGTAAAAAAGATATGCTTGAATTTGAAGATGTGATATGGCAGAAACTGAAAGAAAGAAGGAGGTCCAAAACATAAAAGAAAAAATTACAACTTATTAAAATATATCCAGATGGTTTCACTTTAAAGATTTAACAAAGAACAAATATGGCTTACCATGTAGAAAATAAAAGTTCCTAATAAATCCTAATTAATGTTTTTTTTTTTAATCATTAGTATATGTTCATATAATATATTTAAGGGTCAGTCCATAAGTAACTTTGGGCAAATTAATAACATTACAACAAAATTTAAAAAATCAGATTACACTTGCAAAATAAATGAATTAAACACCACAAAATGTATATTTGATATCAATATATATTTATGTAATTAAAGCTGCTGCATGGTTATATTTTGTGCGGATCTTACTACAAATTTTGAGCGTACTTTTTTATCTGTGATTACATGGGTGTGTAAAAGTTGAGTGGCTAATATATGTTGAAAAAACCAGCATATGCTGGTTAGGTATGTTTTGAAGCTGGGATGCTGGTTTGAGCTGGTTTAAGTTGGTCCTTTGCTGGTTTATGCTGGTCCTTTGCTGGTTTAAGCTGGTCATGTGCTGGTCCTAAACTGGTCCGACCAGTTTAAGACCAGCACATGACCAGCATAAACCAGCAAAGGACCAGTTTAAACCAGCATCCCAGCTTCAAAACATACCTAACCATCATATACTGTTTTTTTTTTTCAACAGGGAGAGGTTCTAAAATCCACATTAAGGTATAATACAAACATTTTATAGCAGTAATGTTTTTTTATAATGATAAGTAATTATAAAATAAAATAAAATAAAAAAGTTTTTAAACTCTACCACTAGAGGGTCAACACAGGAGAGACGCTCCAGCTACGCGGTGGAATCTGATTGGCTGAGAGGATTCGATCACTTCCTCGGTGTACCGGAAATGGGTCATTGGAAATCGAAGTGACGGCTAGCTTTACTGCCGCACGAGAGGGAGAATGGATGCGTTAAATAAACTTAAACAATTTGACGCTTATCCGAAAACTCTAGAGGACTTTAGGATCAAAACATGTGGAGGAGCCACGGGTGAGTGATACATATCCACCGAGAGCTGCAGAAGTGCTGAGCGCCATTCATACACACAGGCTCGTGGGGAGAAAGCGGTGCTGAACAGGCTAATTAACATAAAGTCTTAAAATATGCACATATAATTACCTATTAAAATTACACAAACATTTACATAGTTTGAATGGAAATTGTCACTGGGGCGCATAAATCCAAAACTGTATGAGATAAGAGTCATGTTTAATGAGACTGTGAATTTAATGACATGTAGCTCAGTCTTTAAGAAGTTGTTTCTAATTCACATGTTCTTCGTTCACTTTGCAGTGACCATCATCAGTGGACTTATTATGCTGATTCTGTTCTTCTCTGAGCTGCAGTATTATCTAACTAAGGAGGTGGGTGAATGACTTCATACCACCTTGTTGTGCATAATATATATGTAACTCAATCTCATGACATCTGTGAGTCTGTAGTGACTGTGTATGTAGATTTTATAGTACTATTGTGCGTTTTTAGAGCTGTTCATAAACGTTTGATGGAATATGTTTGAGTTCTGGCTTCGTTGTCATCTCTTAGGTCCATCCTGAACTATTTGTAGACACTTCCAGAGGAGACAAACTAAGAATCAACATTGATGTTATATTTCCACATATGCCTTGTGCCTGTAAGTGAACATTTTGTTCCGATTTATGTTTTGCATGATTTTGTCATGTTGTTCATAATACACTATAAAACCATATAAGCAAATCAAATAAAGTAGGGCTTGATTAAGAAGTTGTAAAATGAAAGAAGGCACTATACTGTGTAATATGTTTGATTTCGAAGGACCTGAAAGTATCCGGAAGTATCCAGATCATATGTTGATCGCAGTGTGTCAAGCACATGTCCATGTCATAAATCACCCCAAAAACCTGATGCAATCATGCAAAAGCAAACTGACACTTTGTTACCTAATTGAAGATGGTGTTATCATGATATTTACTCCAGCTGTTTGAAGTAATTTTCTCTGGCCGTGCGGGTTGTTGAGTTGTGATTTTGTTTTCTTAGATCTGAGCATTGATGCCATGGATGTAGCAGGGGAACAGCAGCTAGACGTGGAGCATAACTTGTTTAAACAGAGGCTCGACAAAGACGGCCAGCCAGTCACAGCAGAGGCCGAAAAACATGGTCAGTATCATCATAGTAAGTGATGTTCTTGTTTTCTGATATACTACGGAAAAATGTACAGTACATCGTTACTGAAAGATGCCGATTAAGTGATTTCACATGAAACTTTAAATGTATTAATGTCATTTTCAAGCTATATTTAACTCTTTTCACATGTACTTAAAATACATAATTAAAGGAATAGTTCATGCATAAATGAAAGTTTTTTTTAATTATACTTTTATGGTGCTTGGTTTGCGCCCTTTGTGAATTTTGTAAACAAAATAAATAATTAAATTCTAAAATTAAATCCAATATCTAAAATAAAATCTAAATAATGAAAACTGTAAACAAAAGTGGGATGTGCAATTAGAAACAAAATGTTAATATACAGATTTTTTGAATATATGCCTTGATTTGATTTGTCCTTTCTGTTTTCTGTGCAGATTTGGGGAAGGAGGAGGAAGGGGTGTTTGACCCCAGTAAGCTGGATCCTGACCGCTGCGAGAGCTGTTATGGAGCTGAGACAGACGATTTAAAGTGAGTTTCCTTTTTCTGATAATGCACCACCACCACAAACAGAGCAGCAGAGGTTTTCTGATGGGAAAGTGCTGGTAGAACCGGTCTGTCTGCTGGCATGAAACCAGTTCTGAAAGTTATTGTAAAGATCCGGTAAATCGACAGAAGCTTACATAGTCAAAATTTCTCAAATTCATAACCACCTGGCTGAATGAAAGTGAAAGAGATTAATTAGAAGTTTAAAATTCCTCTGGATTCACACTTACTTTGTTGAAAGTAAGTGCCATTTAGGCAGCTGAATTGTCAGTCAACCAATAAAATGCACATTCACATTTGTATTGTAAACTCTGTTTCCTGCAAAAGACCTTCACAAGGAATGTATTTGAGACATTTTAATGCAAAGCGTAAATGGCCAATCCGTTATTGTCGTATTGTATATATACAATCAGTATTTATTAACAATTTGAATTCGTTTTTAATTTTAATTATAGTTTAATAATTATGTGCTTTTGTCCTGTTATTTTTATATTTCTATTTAGCTTTATTTTTTTCATTTAGTCGCCAAGGCAACATTTCCAATTTTTTTATTTATATTTCATATTATTTCAGCTTTATTTGAAGTAACAAAAATGATTTTTAATAGTTTTAGGTGACCGTAACAACACTGCTTTTGATCAGTGCCTGATGTTAATAGCAGGTGTATATATAGGGCCAATTTAAGACATGATTTGAGACACGAACTGGTTGTTCTGCAGGTGTTGCAATACCTGTGATGATGTGCGGGAGGCGTACCGGCGCCGTGGCTGGGCGTTTAAGACCCCTGACACCATTGAGCAGTGTAAGAGAGAGGGCTTCAGCCAGAAGATGCAGGAACAGAAGAATGAAGGATGTCAAGTCTATGGCTTTCTGGAGGTCAATAAGGTAACATGCAGCCCCGTGATCTGATTTCTGAATCAATGTTTTTATTAGGTTCAAGTACATTCTATATATTTAAAAAAAAATCACAAATCACATCTTTCTCCAGGTGGCAGGGAATTTCCATTTTGCCCCTGGAAAGAGCTTCCAGCAGTCTCATGTACATGGTAAAGACTCAGGTTTAGTTGTTAAGTATGAATCGAACACAAGTCAAAGCTCTTAGGTCTGATCCAGAGGCATGTTTATTAGTTTTAGCCCATTAACTTATCAATGACTTGACCTTTTGTATTCGGTTACAAATTTGGATTATTATTAATTGTATTATCAAATTGAAACAGCTTTTATATCAAGCCTATGTGCCAGTATGTGTCAGACCTGAACGTTTGATTTGTCTGCATGTAGCCAGATGCTTCATGTAGCCTCTCATTTCTTGGTATGCAAATGCATAGTGAGCCATTCAGTGCTGTACAAATGTCTTGAGATCCACATTTGTATTTATGTAGAGAAACACACAATGCATGTCTTGCATATTTGCTTTTTTCTGCCTGCTTTCTCAAAACTGTTCATCAGTCCGTGCAACTGAGAATCTGTAGTTTAAATCAGCTCAAAGTCTGTTTTATATTGACCAGTTGCTTTGTTTCTGAGCTGATGAAGTTTTTTTTTTTTTATCCTTTTGTCGTCACTGTGTATGCAAGTGTGCCTTTAAAATCTTACAAATTCTTCTATACACTCATTACCTTGTGTCGACCGTTGATGCTGTAAATCAAAGCTGTTTTTTATTAATGAAATTATTTTTGGTTAGTCTGGGTTTTTAACTTTGGGACAAAAAGGTTTCTATGCTTTTCCACCAAAGCTCACAATCTTTCTAAGTAACAAGGTACAGAACTAACACCAGTTATGCTTGGTCGTGCATAAGCTATTTTTCCAGTGCATTATACAGTACTCATTAATACACTTTTACAGACCTTGGATTCAAGTGGCAATCAATATTTCAATAGCCCTTCTTCAGGGAAAAAAAAAGAGATGGTAATTTGCCAATTAGTTTTGCTCTAGTATTGGAATGAGCTTAAAGGGCCAGTCACAAATTCCTCTTTTGAAAACTTTCCAAAAACAAAACCCATTTAGTGACTATTTTCTCTTCTTTCTGCAGTGCATGCTGTGGAAAGTAAGTTGATCTTTTATATTTTAATAAATCTTTATTGCAAGACAAGTTAGAATTTACCTTGTTACTATATCAGTAATTCTGCTTTTCTCTGCACATAATTTGAGATTTAGACTTCAACAAATAGTCAGTTTGTGATTTGACATTGCGGTGGCTTTAAAGTGTCAATTAATTTGTCATGATTCTCATCAGCAAGTGCATCTGTGACCACTTAACATACTACGCTCTGCCTTTGTTTGAAATATGTGCAAATTTCTAGGCTAATTAAATTAATTTAACTAAGATGCATTCACAAATTGTGCGTCTTTAAAAACATTCATTCATTTTGTTAATCGATTCCTTTATTTTCAGTTCATGATCTGCAGAGCTTTGGACTAGACAACGTGAGTTGCTTCTCTAATTTTCAATAAGATTAATTTGCCATTGCTCACAAATATTAGGCCTAACAGAATTTGTTTGGTATGACCATAGATCAACATGACGCATTTCATCAAACATCTTTCATTCGGCAAAGACTACCCTGGAATTATCAATCCTTTAGATGGTACTAATGTAGCAGCACCTCAAGGTAAGTGTATGGCATTACTTTAAAGTAAAAATCAGCATGAATGGCTGAGAACATCATTTCCAGAATTAAAGAGCCCTTCTTTATCTTCTCCGTGGTCATTTCATTGTCAGCCCTCCACAGACAGCAGAAAGGTCACTGCTAAAGGTCAATCCCACAGTTGTCCTAATCTAGCAACCATCAACAATTAGATCTTAGACTGAGCCCAAGATTTGATTCTTTTTAATCAGTCTTTATTGACACCTGTGTCCATGAATGTGGGTATGATAACAAATGGATGAATCTAGAAATGCTTCAAAGTTCTATAATTTTAGAAGTGGCATTAGTGTGATCTCAGCAGCGGATACCCATCCCAATGGACATGAAGGTTCCAAACGTGCCACCGCTTTGCATCATCATCTTCCCAACTCCGCCCATCAACTCTCGACCCCTCATGCCGACCCTGGAAAAAACATAACCATCTCTATTAAAAAAGTACCACTAAATATATAATTATAAATAATCCTAAAAATGACAGCTGTTGTTCATACCTGAGACAGGAGAATGTTCCGAACATGGCACCTGCAGCCATGCCCACGGTAAAACCCATCATGAAGCCCATCTTGACTCTGTCAAAGCAACTGGGCTGCGTCTGTCCATATGGTCCTACTGTCACCGGCATCTGGAAAGAGGATAATACGTTGTCTTAGCTTGTCTTTCGTTATTTTAGTAGCATGCAAATGTAAATATTTCACATTATTT